TCTACTACTGAGCTATACACTGCCCACCCTCATTAGCCATTATTTTTACTGTTGTTAATATTTTTGTGTACTGGGCACTCTTCTCAGGAACACCTGTGGCAGACAGACTCTAAGTTGGCCCCCATGATCCCCACTCCTGATATTCACATCTTTATGTAATCCCCTCCCCTTGAGTATGGGAGAGACCTGTGACTTGCTTCTAACCAGTAGAATACAGCAGAGGTGATCAACACATGTGATTAGGTGTGTGATTATATTAGACAAGATTTTAATATCATCCCTTTCCCTTATTGGCTTTGAGGAAGCGAGTGGCCACGTTGGAAAGGTCCATATGGCAGCAGCCAACAGCCACGTGAGCTTGGAGGCAGATCGTTCCTCAGTTCAGCCTCCAATGAGATCACAGCCCTAGCCATCCACTTTGTGGCAATGTTTCACACAGCAGGAGGTAACTGATATACCAGCCCTCGCTTTTCAAGCTCTTTGTTCCTGCAATTCTCTCCCCTCTCTTCTGAATCATCAATATCTCCCTTCTTTCTATTTGGCCATTCCATCAACTCACAAGCATGCTCTAGTGTCTCCCATCTTAAAAAAAAAACACTCTAAATGCCCCAAGCTCCCCTAGTTTTCACCTCATCTCCTCTCCTACATGGTAAAACTTCTTGAAATCTTTGTCTCCATTCATTGTCCGCATTTCTCAGATTATTTCCTCAATCCACCACTCTTAATGAGGTCCCCAGTGACCTACATGTTGCCCAACTCAAAGATCACTTCTCTCTCCTAATCTTGCTTGCCCTCTTGGTGGCACTGGACAGTCAGCCGCTTCCTCTTTCTTGAAATACACTCTTGCGGGGAGGGTATAGCTCAGGTGGTAGAGTGCATGGTAGGCATGCAGGAGGTCCTGGGTTCAATCCCCAGTACCTCCTCTAAAATAAACAAACAAACAAACCTAATCCCCGCCCCCAGAAAAAAAAACTCTAAAAAAATAATTTAAAGAAATACACTCTCTTCTTCCACTTCCTTGACATCACCCTCTCTGAGTCTTCCTCCTTGCTCAATGTCCATGTCTTCCCAGTCTCCTCTGCTGCCTCCCTCCTTTTAGCTCAGCTTCTGAATGTTGGCATGCCCTGGCTTCACTATCCCCGTATGGAGTTGTACAATTTCTCTCTTGAAGGTTGTTGGGACAATTGCCTGAGATAAATGTGTGGTTTTAAAAAAAAATTCCTTTCCCTCCATTAATTATCAGGGTGCCCTCTTGCCTCACTCTGGTGAGAAGATGAGCCACCCTTTCCCCCAGACACTTGTCAGGTGGCTTCAGTGTCCGAGGAACAGACCTTTGGGGAAGATGACCATTTCCCACAAAGGTGAAATACAACACCAGTGTGGATCTCCAAAAACCTGGATCTAAGAAAAGTCCTACTGCCTCTCCTGTGCCTTAGAAATTCCTATTTTTAACTCATTCAGCTTTAGACCTTGTAGGAGGAGGAAGTTCATGGGGCTAGGAGTTGAGGAGTACAGAGGCAATGGCACTGAGGCAGCCAGGGGCAGTGCGGGTGGGTCAGGGACGCCTTCCTGAGGAACTGTCCCCAAACTGAGAGCTGAAAGGTGTCTGGGAGTTAGGCCGAGGAAGAGCAGTGTGAAGGTTCCAAGATGTGCAAGAGCTTCAACTCCTGCAAATAGAGTGAGACTGGAGTGTCAGGTGCAGAGCACAGACAGAGGACCACGGCAAGACTGGAACTTCAGGGCCTTAGGAGCCAGATTAAGGACCTGGTACTGCCTCCTGTGAGAGACAAAGGGAGCCCTGAAGAGCTGAAACTGAGGAGGGCACAAGCCGGGGAGCTCCATCACTGCTGGGCTCCCTCAGGCCCTCCCCTCTCAGACCTCAGCTGGGAGCATGGCGTGGCTCTGGTCTGGCTTCAGCACTGATTTCTGAGTAGCTCAGAGTCACTTAGTCACTTCATGTCTATAGACCTCTGCTGCCAAAAGAAGTCATTTCAGACCAGATGATCTTTAGGACCATATCTCCCCACTCTCCATGCCCAGATTAACCCTCTACCCACTTATGGGGCTTCCCCCAATTCCCTTAAAATCTCTCTCCCCTGTTTCTTCTCCCCCGGCTGGTAACATCTTGGAGGAAAATTCCTTTTTCTCATCTGTCTCTCTGGAACCGAGCAGAATCCCATGGGCCCCACCCCCAAGTACAGAGCCCCCTCCATGTCCCCTGCATGTTGTTTATAGAAAAGCTGAAGTCTCCCAGGCTTCCAGAGTGGAAAAGCTAACTGCATGAGGACCAGATCACAGCTGTGACATAAGCTGCTCCATCTCGGGCAGCACTGAATCTCTGGCCAGCACAATTCCAAGAACTGGCCTTAAGAAAATGGGATTAGCACTATTGCTCATAATAATCTGTCTTTGTGGGCATCAAAATAATTGTACCTTGTTCTGCCTGTCTATGTAAACAGGCAACTACAACTGTCAGCAAGGAGATGCTACAGACCCATG